GCCTGATGTGCTTCTGGGTACACGGCTAGGATTCCTTGTTCCTGACAGTCAATCACAGGTCTGCCTGAGAGCAGGTGGGCGTGGTGGGGCCATGAACTGGCTGTCAGCCAGTCACAGAGCATTGTGATCACATCTTGGTTGTGGTGTTTAATAGGAAAATGACAACTGAAAGAAAATGACACCCTCTGTGTATGCATGCGAAGGCACATCCTGGTCAGATGTACTTCGTCGTTCATCAGGGCTCCACGGGGATTCACCAAAGCAATCGTCCACCCCCAAAAACTTGTAGCAGCACAAGGCAGATTTTAGCCCAGGAACAGCTTATGGGTAGAGTCCTGCAAAACAAACTGCTTATGCTCATGCAGCATGAAACTTGACAGATGCTCATATCTGACCAAGTCCTGTAGATCAAGAAACTTGTGCTAGAAATGATCCACCTAGCCTATTTGCACATTCTACAACAGGAATAATAATTGTTGCCCCAGCATTGGCTGCATTTCACTTGCTGATTTCTGAGCTGATACGAGACAACTGTACCAGATATGGACGTAAACAGTGCTTAAGAAGAAACCAGGCAGGGTGTTGTGCCTTTTTAATTCAAACAAAGGCACAGCATGCAGCCACGTTAGCCCAGGAGAGAGGCAAACATGCCTCCCTCTGGGCCGGGTGGAGACCTGTGCCATGCCATACGGTATTCCCAATGGGCACTGTATTGGCTACATATGGCAAGGCTTTGGTAGTGGAGGGGTTAGGGGGTTTTGCAGGGTGGGCTCTGTCAGACAAGGTAAGGAGCTGCCCCGTGTGGTACACAGCCAGTTCCAGCTCCACAGCGGACCCACCCCATGACACAGCTGAGCCATGCGCAAAGGTTGTAGCCCCTCTGTGAAAACGTATTCCACAAAGGGCAGAAACACCAGGCAGAGAGAGGGGGAAGGAAGAAAATAGCGGAAAAGAGCAGAGGGATGATGCATCTCTCACTTGGGCTGGTAAAGGAGTCTGGAGTGAAGGAGTAAAGTTGAGCCTGGGACAGGGGAGAGGAAAGGCGCTCGTTATATGTTAGCCTTTTTGTTTTCTCACTACATGAGTCTGTTTTAAGTAGCACAAAGTTATTTTTTCCCATGTCAAGGCTGATTTGCCCACAAGAGTTCTGTTTAGCCATGTCCTTGTGTTTGTCTTGACCCATGAGCTTTCTGATCCAGTTTTCAGTGCCCTGCACCCCACTGAAGGAGGGGAAAGGAGTGAGCAGCTGGGTGGGTTCTTGGTTGTGCACCCCCATGTTGGCATGTGCAGAGCTGTACTTTGGTCGTGGTTCCATTGGCAGGTCCCGGGAAGGAGTGCCTGTCAGCAGCCCTTGGTGGGAGCTGGGAAGGGTAGCCCCGCAGTCACCTCCCGGCAGCAGTGCCAGGCTGATGCCGGGTGAGGTGGCGGGCTATGGCAGCAGCAAGGGATGGAGCGTTGGGAGCAGCAGCAGCAGCTGCAGGGCCGGGACGGGATGGCTGGTTGCTCTAAGACTCCTGAGCACTGGCCCCCAGCTACCGTCTGCTCCATTCAACTTGACGGCTGCTGCTGACTGAGGGCATCCAGCAGTGGCCCCCTCAATCACACAACACCTGGGGTGGAGAACATGCAGACCAAGCCCAGCTCAAAGCAGGCACAAGTAGAAGAGGCTCTTCCGGGCCTTCGCTGGTCGGATGATGGACATCTGCAAAGATGGAGACTCTACAATAATCCCTGGGCAACTGTTTCCCATGTTTGACCAGCCTCACGACAGAGTCCCTGGCACCTGTCTAGCCTAGGGAACCTCCACGGAACTTGCTCCACTTTATCAGCACTTTACATAGTTCCCTACATAGTCTTTCTTCCCCCTTTCTGGAAGAGGGAAATTTTTCCTCCTCATTATCACCGAGGGAGCTACCCTGCCCTCTGATCCCAAAGCTGAAGAGCCCCTGAGATGCATCCTTCTTTCTTGCGGATGCGGTGGCACAGACGGTAGGTGCCAATCCAGGACATGGCATTGACCAGCAGGGTTTCAAGCCAGAGAGTTTCCCTGAATTAGCAGTTCCTCACCTGCAAACACAACCAGCATCAGTGGGAAGAGGGGCAGGTGGGAGTAAAGGCCCACCAGTATGAGGCCAAGAGGGACATTGCAGGCTCTGGGGCCTTGTATTCAGGCTGAGGGGTGTCCTTCCATGGCCTAGCATGCATTTCCATTTCGTCTCCCCTGACACTGGGGCATTTCTCTCCAACAGTGCTGACAGGACAGAGAAACTCCATGCTGGTGCACGTTGTGATTGAGGGAGATGCTGAAGGAGCTGGGTTTGTTTAGCCTGGAGAGCAGAAGGTGAGGGGGCTTCCGCTGTGTGAAGGTGGCTCTCTGGCTTGCCAAGGCCTGCCCTCTGCCAGAAAGACCTGGGGAGTGCAGGAGCTGGGGGTGGCCTGGCCTCCTGTGTGAGCCAGCCTGGCCTGAGCTGCACCTCCCAAGGGCTGGGGAGCTCTGGGAGATCTCTGCCTGCCCACTGAAGCCTCTAGGGTTGGCACAGATTGTCCTCCCCGCCGGATCCTGCAGGGAAGAGTAGTATCAGAGGCTACAGAGGTGTCAGCAGTTACCATGGTCTTGGGGAAGCAAATGGGCTTGGGAGCACGTTAGTCCCAGCAGGCAACACTGCCAGGAAGGAAACCAAGGACAAAATACCCTGAGCAAGGAAGCTGCCTGCACAGGCCCATACAGCTGTTCATACAGAGCCCCTCAGGGATCCCCGAGTGCTGGGTGAGACCTGTGAGCCTGGGTAGGGCCCCAGGAACATCCTCTGTTGCTTGGAGATCCACTGTCTGACCCCAGAAGAGACATGTCCCCTCCGATGGCATTACAGCACATGGATGGGAAAAAGCTTTCCCTTTCCCTGTGCCGCAGCCCGTGGAGGGAGGTTTCCTCCACCTTTTTAAAAGGCCTTCAGAGACTGGGCCCTGCTCTCGCTGCTCCCACCCACCTGGGCCCTGCAGATCCCAGGGATATGTGAGGAAAGCCCTCAGCAATGCTGATTCTCCGGGACAAGCTTTCAGAGTTGTGCCTCTGTAGAGATTGAACCCTTCTCCAGTGACGAGCTGTTTCTCCTGCCTCCTCTGAATGTGACCTGGTTTTGATATCTTAGGCTTGGGTATGACGGCGTGCTCTGTCGTGTGGGTTCAGAAGTACCAGATGCAAGCCCAATGCTTTAGGAAATGCAAAGGTATCAGGAGGTCGTGTCCTCAGTGTCCCGGGCTAAGTCTGAGATCCAATAGAGTGTCCCCACATGGGTTTCCTCCTGTGTGACTGCTGGGAGGAAGGGCCCTGCTCTCAACACACAGGCTCAAACCTTGGCAGAAGGAGGAACGCACCACTGCAGCTTTTCCTGGCTGTGTGCATGGACCCTTTTTGGGCAGGCAGTGTGCTGGTGCCAGGACATGAGGGAAAGTTCCCTCAGGCTGGACATTGAAACCTTGCCGAGTCTGGAGCAGCCTCGGGAGAGAAAATGGGGTTTCCAGGGAGGGAGAGGCCACTTTGGGACACAAGGGGACAGCGAGTCCTGGAAGATAGGACCAGAGTTTGGAGTCAGCCAAGAGTGCCCCAGCAGAGGAAGGAAGTCCAGCTTGTGCAACACATAACAAGCTACTTTGGGTACTCCTGCCAGCTCTTCCCTCTACTGAAGCTCATCCCCTGCCCTCTCTCTTGGTCACCTTGTTCAGCAAGGTCAGGAGCTCAGGTAGGACTGGAACGAGGAGGAAGGATATCTGGGTAATGGCTGCTTAGTATGAGCTACAAGGTGAGAAACAGGAGAGGCAATAACTTACACGGGCAGATAGACACACTGTCCAACATGGGGGCAAAGGGAGGCAGCAGCAGAGACCACAAGTGCAAGGACTGAACCTTCAGCAGCTGGGCCATGAATGTACCGTCTCAGGTGCACCATGGAAGAGGTTCTACTGGAAACTCCCTAACCTGGTCCAAGTAGGCAAAAGCAAGATTCTCAGCACTTACCAGCCTGGCTCTTGTAAGAGAGGGGACGCGAGGCTTGTGCAAAGAGCTCTGCCACTCCCTTGAAAGGCCCGGTGAGTAGAGAGCGGCCCTGGAGGAAGATTGTACTTGGTGATGTCCACGGAGATGGAGAGACAGCCAGGCTCAGCCAGGAGTAGAAGGCTCCACGAGGGTGGCCTCAGGGGAAAGAATGTGCTTGTGGAGGAGGTCCCATGGTGTAACGGTAAGCACTCTGGGCTCTGAATCCAGCGGTCTGAGTTCAAATCTCAGTGGGACCTCAGCCTTTTGGCTCTCCCAGGACATTCCTTGGCATGGTTACACATAACAGCCTTTCTGTCAGCTCTAATCAGGTTGACCTTACTCTGATCTTCCTTCCTTTCCTGTGCTCCCAGCCATGAGACTGACATCAGTGCCCCCTCTCATGCCTTGTGCCCACCAAGCCTCTGCAGCTTTCCTGAGCAGTGGCCCCCAGCTCCTGTCTGCTCCATTCAGCTTGAGGGCTACTCCTGCCTGAGGGCATCCAGCAGTGGCACACCCAATCACACAACACATGGGGTGGAGAACATGCAGACCAAGCCCAGCTCAAAGCAGGCACAAGTAGAGGAGGCTCTTCCAGGACTTCTCTGGTCATATATTGGACATCTCGAAAGATGGACACTCCACAGTACTCCCTTGGTAACTGTTTCCCATGTTTGACCAGCCTCACGGTAAGACAGGGCTCCTGTGTGAAGCACTACTTGTACTTCAAATCCTGTCCATTACTTCTTGATCTCTCCATTCCACTGACCCTTTGCTGTCTCTCTTTTTCCTTCTTCGATCTTTTCGGTGCTCTCGTACAAGATCAGGGAGCTCCACCCACAACTGGCGGTGCCCCAAGATTGGCGACAGACTCACCGTCATGGCAGAGTGCAGGTTCTCCCTTTCCCTTGCAGAGGACTTGGCCAAACGGCGAAGGAGCAGAAAAAAAACCAAGACATAAGCCTCCAGCTATGCTGCACAAAGTCTTTAATGAGAAGGAGGAAATGCAGTGGCACAGAATAGAGACCAAGAAACACATCTGCAGGGTTGAGTGACGCAAAGAGGATGGCCCGTTCCCCAAGGACAAGCTGCACATAAAGTGCTTGCCTTTTCCCAATCTGCCATCCCTTGTGGCAATGGCAACCCACCCAGAGTGGTCCCTAACTCTAGCACCCTCTCCTGTTCAGTAGGAGTTTCAGCAAAACAGAAGAGAACGAGCCCTTTCTGGAGGGCTCAGAGAAAAGAAGAGCCAGAGGAGACACGGCCACGCCAGCCGTGCAGCGAGGAGAAGTGGGCACAGGTCCCTCCTGCCAGGTGGCATGAGGACACCCAGCCTGTCTGCAAGACATGTCCATGACCTGCTGCTGCAGGGTCCCGTCTTCCGTCCTGCTCCCGAAGGGATGATTCGCCAGCTTCAGCAGTTCAGACTGCAGCGGGGGACAGGCAGACACATCCCGGACCCACCCAGACCAAGGGAGCCCCCAGAAGAGATGGGAACTCCACTGGCACTGAGGGAGCTCCCAACAGCAGCTGACAGAGACGATCCCACAGCGGTGCTCTGAGGGAAAGAGTTGAGGATGGGGCCCTGGCAGGGTCACCACCACTGGCGAGGGCTCGATGAACACCGTCGAGTCAGCGCAGCGGGCGACACAGGGCTCACTGCAGCTGCTTGCAAGTGGGGTTGGGCCAGAGGCACAGCAGGGCCGTGGGGGACAGGGTCTGAAGCAAGACATCTCTCGGTGAAGGAAGCAAAGCTGCAACACAGAGCAGGAAGGAAACACAGACCAAAACATCAACTTGGCTCTCATGTCCACAGCTCTCTCTGCAGATACACTTTGCTGCTCTCCATCTCCATTTCTAGCTGCAGGTGCAGGAAATGCCTGCACCTGATCTTTCTAACACACACAACGTGCGTGACCTATCCCCATAAGGTGGATTTGAAGCACTGGGAGCAAAGACGTGCCTAACTGGCTGCTGATTGCACCAGGACCTCCTACTCCATTTCCCAGTACAATAGCACAGATGAAGATTGATGCAAGTATCCCAGCACAAATGGGCTGCGTTGAATGGGTGTCTCAGAAATCACCTCTTAAACACACACAGTCTTCCTACAGCTCGTAATGCACTCCTCTGAGTTGCACAGTGCAGGAACGCTGACCCACTTTGGGATAGGACCAAGCCCAGTGGGTTTAAAGCACCTGATCATACCCCGTCTCCAGAACAACTGTTGTTGCATTGATGAAGCACTTGGCCATTTGGTTAGAGAGCATCCTGCTGCGGGTGCAAATTCTGGTGAGGCAGACACCCCTACAGTTGAGCTCCATTGATACCCTTCTGCTTGAAAGGACACCCTCTTCCCATTTCTGCACAGCCAGCTCCACAAAAAATAGACAGAGGTGACAGCCCTTCAATTGTTCAATTGCGGGACCATGCTGAGGCAGTGAAATATCAACCTGAGATGCTACCATGGCAGCAATTCTGCCTACAGAGAGAGACATGGAGTAGACCCAGACTTACCTCGTTCCTCGAGGAAAGTGAAGCAAGAGAGGAGGATGCAGGTCCTGGAGCAGCGCAGGCTTTTATGCTGTGTCCCAGAGCCCTGTGGGGCCACCAACATCCCTTGCTCATGAAGCATCTGAACACATAGGACTTTCCGCTTCCCACGGCCTTCCCTGGTGATTAAGCCCTTGCTTCTTACATCCCACATATTGTCCTCTTTTTCATACCATCGAACATCAAAATCATTCATCTGTATCCCAGGTTTATAAAGTCAATTAACTCTGAGTTCTTACGCAGGACAGACAGATATTTTTAGTTGACTTGCCTCATACAAATTCCTTTGGTCTCATTGCCCTCTTTGTGGTTAACTAGTCCACGTGTCATGGTGAAATTCAACCATACAGGGCACCTCAAGTCTTCTCTCAAATGCTTTCTTTGCAGGCACTCAGTCTAAAACCAGAGGGACAATTCTCTTCTTGGGTGATCGTAGACACACAGGACACAGTGAGTAATTTCAGGCAGAAGTTCAAGACTGCACAATCCCATATGGGAGGAGAGACGCACGACTCCAGGGACGTGGCAAAGCTCAAGGGCAAGGAAAGACCACTGTGAGGTGGAGGGAAGCCCCCTGTGGGCAGGGGTGATGATGGCCACAGGGACCTTGTTTACGCTCATCAGGCTCTACCACAGACTGGTTTTGTGATCAAAGACTTGCCCGCGTCCTTCCCTGAAGCAGACCCACACCCAAATTGACCCGTTTGTCTCTGTAAGGTCATCCCAGAGGATGGAGGTGTGGCTTGCCTGATTAGGAAGAGAGGTGAACAGCAAGGAATGAAAACCTCATGGCCCTTTTTCCTGATTCAGAGAGGGGGTGGCCAATTCCATGCATTTCACGCTACAAAGGCACATTGGATGAGTCTCAGAGCACCTGGGAGTCATCATGATGTGGAAGAGTTGGGAAAATCCCAGAGCTGCTGGCAAGCAGGACTCACCCTGCTTTCGACGTCAGTGGACACGGTCGCCCAGCCTCAGTTGTGCCAGGGATACCAGACCTCATAGTCCCAATTGCGGCTTTCTGCAAGGAAAAACATTTTAGCACCATTCCTGAATCAACTGGTGCTTCTGTGCAACCTCGTGCAGCTTCTGCCTTCTAAGGCATTGCCTGCCAGTGGCTGCTCAGGGACCCACGAGAGTGAGTGCAGCCCAGAATGATGTGGGATGGATGGTTCTTCTGGAATGGCTCTGGGACAACCTCCTGCTCTGAGCAGACCAAGCTTAATGTTAAGTTAATCAAGGGATATGGCGATGGAGATCCCATGGAGAAATTACCTGAAAGAGACCTGCCTGATCCTCTGGTCTGCTCCCTGTCGTTACAAATGTGCCTTCATTCCCTGGACACGTGGTCATAAAAAACAGGCTGTGGCAGAGCCTGTTGAGCGTGAGCAAGGTCCTCGTGGCCCTCACTCCTGCCCACAATGATCCTTCCTTGTCATTGAGTTTTACTGCATCTCTGCAGATGTGAGTCTCTTCGCCCACCATCTCCTGCCAGTCTATATAGACCCACTGGGAGATAGACGTCTCCCTCGGTTAGCCCGAGGCTCTGCACTGAAAGCACTTCGGAGCTGATTTGATGTGACTTTGAAGCGTGATTGCTGGCTGTGCCAGGGAGCATCAGGCTGGGCTGTGTGAGCAAGCAACTGTGTGGGTGATCTAACACGCTGAGCCATCTGTGAAGTTTCTGGCGTGGACAGCACCTGTGTTGCAGCTACCGCAGGTAGTAGGAGGAAACATATCTTGGTGAAGGTGTCAAAGCTGAAACACAGATCAGTAGAGTGAACACTTGTCCTTTTGCTAAGCAACCATATGCTGAAGGTATAAATACCAGTGGACAGACCTCCCCACAGCTGAGCCCCTTTGATCACCTTGCTCTTGAAAAAGGGCTTTAGTGCATAGTTTGTCTAGCACTGGGAGACATCTCTCTCCTATACGAGTCATCATGGGCTCACAGGAGATGGTGGCATCTGTTGAGCAAAACGCAAGGCCAGGAAAGTTACCATTGTGGTCTGGAGGGAAGCTGCTTGCGGGAAGGAATGAGGGCCACAAGGACCTTCCTCACATTTGTCAGGCTCTGAAAAAGCCTATGTTTTCTGCCCACAAGGCCAGGGACCATAGCAAATCCATAATGAGAAAGAGTAGGCCACAGATTGAGGCCGGTCTCTCTCAAGCGATCTCTCCTTGGGATCTCAGTAGCACTGTCCCTAGGATGACATGACAAGGCCTTCACAATTCTTCCAACCAGTCCTCGGGTGTCATCTTGGGATGTGGAGAACCTGTGGGACACAGGCAAATTGAGGCATAGGAGTGTGGTCAAAGAGATGCGTGCATCCTTCCGTGAAATAAACCCACAGGAAAAATGACCTGTTTAGCTCAGCACGGTCAGCCTAGAAGCCAGAGGCCTGGATGGCCTGCTTTTCAGGAGAGGCTCAGGGCAGGGAGCCAAAAGCTCATGGCCCTTTTTCCTGGGTCAGGGATGAGGCGGCACGTTCCATGCATTTCAATCTCCAAACGGGCGTCGCACATCAGTCTCCCACAGCACCTGGGAGTCATCGTGATGTGGAGGAGTTGGGAAAAACCCAGAGCTGCAGGCAAACATGAGTCACCCTGCTCTGGACTTCAGTGGACATGGTGGCCCAGCCTCAGATGTGCCAGGGATACCAGAGCTCATAGTCCTAAAGCGCCACTTTCCTCAAGGAAATTTCCACATATTTTAGCACTGTTGATGAAACAGCTGGTGCTTCTGTGCAATCTTGTGCTGCTGCTGCCTTCCAAGGCATTGCCTTTTGGTGGCTGCTCAAGGGCCCATGAGACTCAGTGCCCCCCAGAGTAATGACGGTTGGAAAGAACCACTGGAAGCCCTTTGCTCTGGTCCGCTGCTCCAAGCGAACCAAACTTCTCAGCTACCTCAGCAGGCTCCGTGCCTTGTCCCACTGACTTAAGAATACTGTCACTGTCGGAGAGGTCACTATGTCTTGGGCAGCTCTTCCAGGGACACACCGCACCCCCTGTCACTTCGTTTCACAGAAGGGCAGCTGGCATTGGCCCCGTTGCAACTTGTGAGTAATGTGGGTCTTGCTGGTCAGTCAAGTTGTGTTGTACCTGAACATTTGAAAGGTGTAAGTACTCCCTGCAAAACAAAATTCCGGGTGCCCCTACTTTTGCCGGGACACCTCGTGCACATGCCTGCATATGTGCTCTTGTAATTCCATACTTTGAGTCCCAGGCTCTCTCCTCGGTCAGCACAGGCCACTTGCGAATTCTTGTGACACAGGACTCTACTATTTCTTAGCTAAAATCTGCCTTGTGCAGCTAGTGGGTTGGGTGGTGGGTGATTGCTTTGGTGAATCCCCATGCACACTGGCCCAGACTGGGTCGTATCCCATATTTCCCACAGCAAATCCCTCACCTCCACATCACTGATCACTTGGAGTGATGGCTGTCAGTAGTAGAGGGAGTACTTTTACCCCAGATAAGGCGGACCGGGTGCTCTGCCCTCCACTTCGGTCCAAATAGGCCCCTTGGCCTCAACCGTCCCTGGCAGACAGCCAGGTGTACCATTTCCCTTGAAGGCAGTGCCCTCTCCCTGTGATGTGGTCTGTTGTGAGTGGCTGGCAGGACCTGCCACCCCTCCCCATATCCCTGCAAGTACATCTGACATGGAAGGACTTTCCCCTGCACACACGGGGGCTGCCATTTCCTTTCAGCTGCCATTTTGTGGCAGGGAGATGCCATTTTCTTATTCCACATCATAACCAAGATGTTTTCATACTGCTCTGTGAGAGTCTAACAGCCAGTTCTTGGCCCCGCCTTGCCCACCTTCTCTCAGGAAGACCTGTGATTGGCTGATAGGACCGGCCAACCCTACCCATATGCCAAGAAGCACATCAGGCAAGGAAGCCCCTCATGGAATTGGCAGCTATTGACAGTGGAATACCCAGTGACTGAGAGTCAGTTTAGGGGGTGTCTTCAGGTCACTGTCCTAGACAGTGTGCATTCCGCTAAGGAAGTTGCATTAGCAGTGCTGTAGTCAAGGGGGTTTCAAGTTCCTCAGCTGCAGCGTGGTTCTTGCAGGCAGCCCAAAGCAGGACTGCACCCCGTAGTTGGCAGGATTCAAACTTGTGCAGGAAAAACCCAATGGATTTCTAGTCCATCGTCTTCACCACTCAGCCACAACTACCTGCCGCAGACATCTCTGCCCTGCTGAGCACATGCCCTGTGCAGTGACACCCGCCTCCCCAGGAGTTGCACGTCCAGGCTTCACTAGAAGTCCCGTGGTTCACACCTGCACGAAGCATGGGAGGTACCAGCTTTCCAGAAGCCTTTGGAGGTTTAACCACAGGGACGGTGGCTGTAGATCCCAGCGCCTTGTCCTCAGCTGGGCATCTGGGATATCCTGACATGGGGTGGATGGGTTCACTCTCCAGCTGGCATCCCTGCTGCTTCCAGGGAAGAAGGGAAGGCAGCTCTGTAGCTATAACCAAGCACATTAGTAAATGTGGAGTGGGCTATTAACCCCTACCTTTGATTACAAAATTATCTGAGAGACACTCCAATCCTGCAGTGAGCAGTACGGTTGGAGCACTAGTTAGGGGAAAATGGCGATCTCCCAGCAGCACCTCCAAAAAGGTGTGAAGAAAGGTATAGTGAGAGTAAATGTGAGGTGTGGATGACTTGTAGGGAGATAGGAGAGAGCTTGCTTTGGTGTAATAGGCATGTCCAGTTTTTTTGGTTTTGTTTTTGTTTTTTTTTTTTTTTTTTTTTTCCCTGCCCCGGCATGTGAAACAAAAAGGGGCCCAAACAATAAGCCTCAAACCAAAGTTGACTTCTGAGTGAATTCCCCGACCAGCAATCAGCATCTTATCAGCAGACTGAAACAACTGGCATCTTATCAGCATGAAAATGTAACCCTGGGAACAATCCCTGGGAACTATAAGTAAACAATAGGAAGTAACTATAAATCCCAAATGTAAAGAAAAACAGAAACTCCTCAGACATGCCCAGATCCTGGCCAGATCCGGACATGCCTGAGTGAGGCATATCAATCTACCAGATATCTCCTGTGCGTTTTGTTTAGACTTGTTTGTTAAACTGTATAAAAGCTGGACCCTCTCACAGCAAAGACGGAGACCTCACCTACGAGTGG